GGTTTACTTTCAGTCATCTACCATAGTGAGAAAGAAGTGATACAAGTTTGAAAATATCAGTAAATAAGTGGGCAAATTTAATTCCATCAAGGAGGAAATAAAGATGAAAGAAGTGTTTCCTGCAGAAGGAACAGGTGCTTGAAAACATGTTTGCACTGAACTGCTCCTTTTGGATAACAAAATAACTATTCATTATCTGGCAATGGAGTTTGTCAAACATGGGAGAAAGCCACAGAGAAAAATGATGGAAGAAATGCTTGCGCACACCACTGTGTGCACACTCCTGTAATTTGCAGGGCGCAGGATAATGAAAACAGAAGAGAGATCACCCTAAGGGAATAAAAATAAGAGCAGCATAGGCTTCATGAGGAGATCCTGGTGTAGTCTGCCATATGGTATTACTGGAGGTGACGGTATATTACACCAGAGCACAGCCACATTATCGCAGGGTACACTAATGCCTCCCAGAGAAGCACAGGATTTAGTCAACAGAGCTAGAATTTGATCCTAGGTGGTCTCAGTCCAGGATGGGCTTCACCCTCAAGTCCTGACCACTCCCCACCACTCTATTCATAGAAGACGATCCTATGTGTCTTAAGAGACTACAGGGTTCATTATAGAATTACTTTCATATCAAACTGGTTATTTCAACCTTACTGTCCTGGTTTTGACAATGAGGTTTGGCAGCATGTACCTGCCTAAAACACTGTTGAAAGTGTATGTCACCTCTTTTTCAAATATAAGTTCAGATGAGAAAACTAAGTCCAGAGGCTCTGTAACTTCTATGAGCCAGTCTTCAGACCAGTTTAACTGACCTCTTTTTTCTCAAAAATAACAACTGATCAAACAGGGCATCCTGAAGTTGTACATGTCAACTCCAGATAGTTCACAAAGTACCCTATAGAACCTTCATCAGGAATGAGTGCCCCTACAGAGACACAACGCTGACTTTCACATTTGTAACATGAGTCATTAAAATCATATTTTGTAATATTGTATTCAAGTGATTATCTGGAATCTTATAACTTCTGATTTCCTAAGTACTTGCCCTATATTCAAGAATCATTTTTAAAAATGGAAGCAAAATTCACATGCAGTGGGCTCCCAAGATCTTAAGGGCAATATCCAATCAGGATTTTTTTTTCCAAGTTTTTGTGGGCACACAATAGGTGTATGTATTTATAAGGTACATGTGATATTTTGATACAGGCATACAATGCATATTAATCATATCAGGGTAAGTGGGGTATTCATCACCTCAAGCATTTACCATTTCTTCGTATTATAAACAATCCAATTACACTTATTTTTAAATGTATGATAAATTATTGTTAACTGTAGTCAAGCTGTTGTGCCATCGAACACTAGATCTTATTCATTCTAACTATATTATTGTACCCATCAACCATTCCAACCACTCTCCCAACTACTCTTCCCACCCTTTGGTAACCATCACTCTACACTCTATCTCCATGAGTTCAATTGTATTAAGTTTTCATAGCTCCCACAAAAAAGTAAGAACATGTGCAGATTCTCTTTCAGTGCCTGGCTTATTTCACTTAACATAATGACCTCCAGTTTCATCCACGCTGTTGCAAATGACAGGAACAGGATTTTACTATTTTTTATGGCTGAATGGTGCTTCACTGAAGACACAGGACATTTCCACAAACCCAGAAAGTCTCCTTGTACCTGAAGCCCTACATCCATCTGATTTAACCTGCCTCAACTAGATGTTCAGAAAATGAAGGCATAATCTTTTGTCTTCAATTTCTTTCCCTCATTATAACAGCTGTCAGACTCATCCATATTGCTGCATGTCACCATAGTTCATTTAATGGCTGAGTAGTGTGTAATTTACCTCTTCTGCTACGGACATTTGATTGTTTACACTTTTTTGATATGTAAACACAGACACTCTGAAAATTCTCATACCAGGCTTGTTTGTGAGTAAGTTTTCATTTATCTTGGATAAATTATGAGTCACTGAATCACAGGGCAGATGAATATTGCCCTTGTATTTGTATGGAAAATATTATGCAAACATTATTAAAATACAACAAATAACACTTTACTTTTGACACATAAAAACTCAAAAATATAACATACACCTAATAGCTAAAACCTGTGGCATCGGGGAAGTGCCTTGAGAATTTCAGAATTTTTCAGATTTATAGAAAGATAATATGCCACAGATTCTATAACACCCAGCAGAGGCTGGGGGAGACTCCTATAATCCAATCTGTAACAAAGAGAAAAATACTCACACTAAGCAGGGTGAAGAGAATAGAAACACAGTTTTCC